CCTCACTGAAAAAATATGGGAAGCAATGCAGCTCATCATTACCAAATTTCACACATACAGCCTCTAGGAATATGATAACCATTTTGATTAAAAGCAGTGAGGTTTTAGCCTTCCTGAAAGGCATACGAGCTGATAGCCATTTTGAATTAGTGGAAAATTTTCATATTTATAACCAGCGTCTGTGGGACATTTGCAGTATCCCATGTCACAAAAGTAAGGAGGAGATAATGACACTGACAATGTCTTCTTTTATGTGGGACTCTATGTGCATGAGCAGTATCCTTGAAATGTTAATATAGTTTATATTTTACTACTGTATAAAAGTGTGCCTGGATCAAAGAAGTCTGCAATGCAATAACCACAACAGTGTGTGCCCCTAAATGAAACATCCTTGCTGTTACACTGCAACTTCATCTGGAGACCTCTGCACTAGATAAATACACTACTGCACAAAAGAACGTAAAACACAGAATGTTACTTCATTGGGACTTAGTTCCAATGCTTTCTAAGGGATTGCTGTAGCATTTTTTCTAGAGAAAAAGATGTTATCTTCCTATCACACACACAGAAATGGCTGAAAGATGCAGGAAAGCTTATGGCAAATGTCACCACATTATTGATCCTGTGGTTGTTTTGCAAGACATTTGGAAACACTAAGTCATCTTTTCATGTAAGACACAAAAACAAAAGGGGAGGTGAATCTGAATACAGGCTCTAACCTGTTTTTTGTGTCTTTAAACATCAAGAGAAATTTAAGCACCACCAATCCAAACCTTGAGTCCTATACAGTAGAATAACTATACAAAAATGCAGTTCACTGAACCATCTTTGATTCTGCTGTCTATAGAAAAGCTGTTGCATTATAAAACTGATGTATTTAAAATACTGCTTTTTGCAATGCCAGTAATGCTAAAAGCATAATATAGGGCTGTACTTCTAACACAATAGCAAGTAGATTATATTTCAAAGAGGAGAACATTTTAATGAAAATATGTATGATGATGACAAATATAAGCATTTTGTCTGTAAGAGTACTTCTTGTGCAAAGTACTAGTCTTCTGTGCACATTAACATTAAGCAAACAATGGGGATATCTGATGTCTTTGCTTAAGCTATTAATGAAAATATTGAAGGATATTGATATCTGCATGAAAATGGGTCTGAGAATCATTAATTTTTTAAACAGATGTTTCCTTTTTACCACAAAATTTGGCTAGTACTACTAAACACATTGCACAGGACTATATCAGAGTTAAAAGTGTTAAGCAAATGCAAGAATGAAGCATCAGCCATGCCTATTCCTGAAACAGAAGCATGTACAAACACATGACCTTTCCACAATATTGAGTATTCTGTTAAAAGTTATTATATAGGAATCAAAAAGCTCTACTTGCTGTAAATTGAACAGATTTACATTAAAATAGATAGAAGGGACCTGAACAAATTACATCATCCATCCTTCCACCTTCAGTTAAGAATCCAGATTGGTCCTAAAGACTTCCAGTGTTGGAAATGCTACAGCTTCCCCAGGCAATCTCTTCTAGTGTTTCTCCATCCTGAGTGATAACAAGGACAGAATTAAATCAGAAGGTACTTCTGTGCACCCATACACAACACGAAACACAAAATGGACTTTATATGGTAATATGACTTACCAAATATAAATATTTCAAATTTCTAGATACTTTCTTCAGCATGAATGCAACCTTTCAAGAATTCTTTGCCATAGGAACTAATTAGCACTCTGAAATTTGAAATGCTTAAAGGCATGATTAGTTGTATTATTCATATTTTTGCTCCTCCGGTAGTCTTCATGACAGAAATTTTACTGTCATCACTAGCTGCCATGAAATAGGATTTACTGGACGTGGTTTTGGGTTCACAGAACTAAATAATTCCTTTAATTAATATAAAACAAACCATAATATTTGATATAAATTCTATTCATTATTTACATATCATTAGACTGTAGGAGAAAGAGGAAATAATTTGAAGGCATAATTTAGAAAGCTTGTTAGAGTTATGAAGTGCTGTTGATGATACATTAAAGAAAGGCAATTAAAGGAATTGCAGAAGTATTAGATACTAATATTTAAATTCTCTATACAGTAAAACTCATTTTGTGTTATAATAAACTTTGTCATAGTAAATTAAATGTACTTCCTGGCTCAATTATATATATGCTATATACCTATACACTATATGTGTCTGCCTGTTACTTGACTACATCAGAGAGCTAGAGGATAAGAGTATATCAGGAGGGAAACCTGGTCAGAACATCTAGGAGAGAAGTCTTCCTCACTGTATTCAGAGCTATAAGGTTATTTCTGAAACAGAGATCACAACTGATTTGGGAAAGCACTGAACAAGTTGAGAACTTGCCCTGGATCAACTTTTAAGCAACTCCTGTGACTCAGGGACCCTGATACATAGATAAACTCAGACCTCAGAATAGCATGCACAGAAGGTGAAGATGATGAACCACTGCAGGATCAGACCAATGGAGACTGTAGTGGAGCTGCCAATTTCAGAAGTCTTCAAGAACAGGTTAGATGACATGGGTCAGGTATATGAGTGATATTGCAAACCCTTCCTTGTGACAGGTGATGTGCTGGTTACCCCTCAGGATCCTATAGTCCTCTTCTGACCCAGCAGTGTGTTTTCATGGTATTAGAATGACAGGCATGGGAACAGCTTCAATTTTCAGGAAAATGGCAACTGATTATTAATGTGTGCTTTGGAGAACTGTTTTTTCTCCATTTTGCTCAAGTGTAAACTGACAGTTTTTCATTTTAGTAAGTGGATAAGAGTTTTGGAGTCTCGATGGTTTAAAGCTTGTTGTTACAATATTAGATAGATTCCTCAAGGGTGCTGGTAACATCACAGAGCACATGCTGGTACTGTTGGTGGTATTTAAAACCACACAGACATAAAAAATCCCCAAGATGTCCACTTGCCTGGATGAGGCTGCTGTGGCTACCTGTACACTGAGTCAGTTTGGAGTCGACATTTTTGGCCTCTCCGGGTGGTAGAAGTCAGTTTCAGGCAGACTGGTTGCAAGCAGGCTGAGCACAGACAGAAAAGTGCACTGCTGGGCAAGGCACCTCAGGACACCCATCATCATCAGTTTTCAAGTCTTCTGGATGCAAGCAGGGGTTCCTTGTGTGGGGTGAGTATTAGTCCATATGAAGCAGCAGGGGTGCTGGGTTTTAAGCTCCAGGGAGAATGAAGTGCAGCAGAAGGAGAGGAAGAAGAAGATGAAGGCACACTACTTTCTGAATATGGACTGGCAAGAAACCAAGAGCTTATGTGGCTGATATTGTAAACTGCCATTGGTAGTTGTGGGTGGAACCGAGTAAATCCACCACTGAAGATGGGTGAATTTGGGATCCTCGGTATACATTTTCAGTACCTGTTGCTGATGAGCTCATCTAACAATCAAAATAATCTAATATATAAAAATAATATAATGTATAAAAAAAGAGTATTACAAATGTTCAACAGGGTGGACAAGACTGATGGAATCCTAACTTCTAAGCTGAGCAAGTGATGCAGTTTTCACAATGGCATTAAATTTTCTAGAAAAAAACTGCCTGACATGAAATATAGCAAGTGAAATTTTAAGGTCACACTCACAGATAGAATGGGTTTTACTCCTTTTGCTGCTGATGCTACTTAGAGATCATTTTCTGAGACTAGGTTATCAGAGCCACAGCAGAGAAGAGCACAGAAAACAGTTTGATCTGGCTTCTTGTAGAATGAAATGGTGAAGCTTCCATTCCATTCTATTCAGGCTGAATTAAACCATTTCTATTAAGCAAAACTGATTTTTAGAATATAACAACTATTAGCAGCCTTGACATTCTGAAAGATTTCTATAACCTTTCTTCACTTTTAGTGCCCGTGAGGGAATACTCTCTTGGGAAAGAAAAATCCAATGCTTATCTTCGAATCTGCTTGCATCTTGCTGTGAGATGTCTGTTACCAAATAGTTCCGGAGACAGCCTGTGAGACCAAATAAACCGAGTGAAGGTTCTGTCATCCCATGAGCTCCTGCTCTTAACCTAAGTTAAGAGAAGAGTAGTCACACTAGATGTGTCACAAACCCTTCCTGGATCCCCGTGGGAGAAGAGCGATACCAATGTTGAAGCGTGCTCCATAAATGCAAATTTCGGGGATGCGGGCAGATCCCTGTCACACAAAATAAGGGTAGTACAGGACAGCCCAGTCACTTTGAAGAGGGTGAAATAATACTAAGAAAAGTGGATATAGATCATGATTTATTTTTTGTGTGGTGCTATGCATTTTAAGGGGGCTTTTTGTTCTTTTTAGGGGTTCAGGGTTTTTTTTTGTGCATTTCAGAGAAATCGTCCTAGCAGAAGTAGGAAAATAACGGCCACGTTGAGACCGCGCAGATGAAAGAGGACGCCGGGGAGCGGGGCCTGCGGGGTGGATTTGGCCAGGCTCCGGGGCTCACCCCACGCCGGGGGTGCACAGGGCCCCCCATTCTCCCGCTGGTATCGGGACGGGTACAGCTGCCGAGGCGGTGCTCCGACGCTGGGGAAAATCCTGCCGCGTTTCAGCGTTTCAACCCCCAACTGTCCATCGGAGGAGAGAGGAAAACAAGGTTCAAAGCTAACATAACGCTTCTCAAAGCGGGAAGCGCCGTTTCTTTTTAGTGGCACTACCCCGGAGGCCCTTCAACTGAACTTTCTGACACCCAACAGGCGACGGGGGTACGACGTGGGAGGAGGAAAGGCACCCGGTCCCCAAGCTCAGCGGAGCTCAAAAAGGCAGGTCCCGGTTTGCACCCCCCCCTCCCCCCTTCCGCCTCGGCGCTGCGGCTGCCGCACGTGACCGCACGGCGCGCGCGGCTCCCGCGGCCCCCACTTCACAACCTGCCCGCTCCTCCGCCGCCGCGCGCCGCCCCCTGCCCCGCCCCCGCGCCCGCTGGTCGCGCTCCGCCCGCCGCCGCCCCTCCGCGAGGAGGGTGGAGCCCGCGCCGCCGCCGGCCCGCCGTCGCTGAGACCCTCACGGGGCTTCCGAGGAGACGGAGGGACAGCGGGGGAGCGGCTCGGCTCGGCTCGGCTCGGCTCGGCGGGAGCGCAGCGGCGACGCCACGGACTTGTGGCCCCCGGCCGAGGAGAGCGAGCCGCTTGCCTGCGAGCCTGGCTCCTGGGCACGGGGAGGACGGGCTGGAAGAAAGACAAATTAAACGCCAAACAACCCCCCAGCGCCCGCGCCCGTCTGATTTTTATTTCTTTTCTTTAATTATTTCGAAGAAAAAAAAAAACTCTGCTTTTGACAATTTGTGCCGCGAGTGGAGTTGTTTTCCGCACACCCCTGACAAACAAAGGAAAAGGGGGAGGGGGAGCGCCTTTCGCAGAAGACATGCGTTCAGTCAGGAAGAGGTGGACTGTGTGCACGATAAGTCTGCTTCTCATTTTTTATAAGACGAAAGAAATATCGCGGACCGAAGAGCGCCAGGAGGCACCTCTCGCCGGGTAATTGCGGGGCGCCGCGCCGGGAGGGCTCCCCGAGAGGGTGGCGGGTCGATTTCTCTGCCTGAGGTCGTCTGCGCGGGTCCACCCAAGTTTTCGGGTCCCCCGGAGCTCGCGGGCCGTGACCCGCTCCCCCCATCACAACCGGGCGCTCTCGCAGGGCGGGTGGGACGAGTTACGAGTGGAGCTCAGCGGCTGAGGGCGACGGGCGGGAGGTCGCCGGGCGGTGCTGCTCCACCCGCAGCCCCCGGGATAGAGCGCGCTGGGGAAGTTCGCCTGGCCGCTGCTGCTGCTTCCCGAGGGCCGGAGCGGCTGGGCGCGGGTTGTGGCGGCCGCCGGAGCGCGTTGTGCCTTGTTTGCTGCTTTGGGAGCCCTTCGGAAGCGAACGTGCCGGTGTGCGCGGCCCCTGGCAGCTCCAGTTGGCCTTCCGTCCTTGAAGTTGACCTGGGAGCTGTGCTTCACTTCGGTGCTCCTTGGGGAATCTTGCTCTGAGAGTCTGCGGGACATCCCCCTTAGCTCCCGAGGCTCCTCCGGTGGAAACTCCGGTCCCTCCCTGAGACCCTCTATTGCGTATTTTATCTCTCCTGCCTGGCTGGCGAAACGGTCCTTGACATTTTATGTTTGCGCCTCAGCTTTCTCTTTGTCACGCATCGTGCTTGTGTACGCATATGCCTGTATTTCTAATTTTTCTCCCAACTCGTAGCTGTCCTGTGAAGATGTTGGGCTTTCAGCCAAACCTGTTTCTTTTTGGAGGGGTATAATTTTTTGTTTTCACGGGAGGGATGTATAAATTCCGTGGTGGCTTAGTGAAATCAGAAAAGCTGGGGAAGGGGCTCACACTTTGTATTTGCTTGTGCAAGTCGACTGGGGGAGAGATGCATTCGTATCAATTTTTCATTCTTTGATATAGACCCTGGCCTTAATTTAAGAAGGAGGTGTAAGGAAGTTTTAAGTGCCCATACGGGCCTGGAGGAGACTGAAGCAATTACAGTCTACTCAGTCACCCCGTCGTCCCCGCTGTCCCCAGAGTTTAAGGCAGAAAGTGCATGCCTCTTGCCCAGCTCTTGCCCAGGCCAGGCCGGCGCAGGAGCGGGTCACAGGGCAGCTGGGCACAGCAGAACGGCAGTCACTCCGGCACCTCTTGGGAGCAGAGAGGTGGCCTCGCCTGTGTGTGTGTGCGTGGTTAATGATGCGGTATTTGCTTCCCTCGGTATTACAGATTTTCACTGCTTTCTGGTAACTTTCCCACTTGTTCAGCCTGGGTGTAAACCGAGTTTCTGCCATGATACGGTGGTATATGCGTACCTATGAGATGTTACAGAAGTTCAAAATTTTTGGGTTGTAGGTGTGCAAAAATACACGCAAAAAACGAATGTGTGAGGGAGAATCAGGATTAAAGATATCCATGTTTCTTTTACACTCCTTCTGTCAGACTAGAGGAAGCTGCTAAAATGATTCAGAAATCAGTCACTAACTAGAATCCATATATATTTTCTAAAAAGGCCCCCTCCAGCTTACAATATATTCTTTGACACAATTTAAAAGGTACTAAAATGAACTGATGATTTAATATTAAATGAATTAAAATGTCTATTTAGTCAGAAATACGTATGTCCTTAACAACACTTTAAAATACAGCTGTAATGTGTTTCTGCCAGGTCATTTAATGATATCTCTACTTCTTTGGTATCAGTAAGACTTCTTGTGCAGTGTTACTCACTTTGGCTAAGGATATTGGAATATAGTTTATTTTTCCCAGGCTGTCATCCCATCCATTACTGCATAAAGTAGGGAAAAAAAAAAAAAAAAAAAACAACCCTAAGTGTACTACTAGTGCCTGCTGCCACTATTGTTGTTACAGTTGCCTTTCTCCTGAAGGAAGGGCTCATGACATTTGTTTATTTTTAACTGGCCACATGGGCAAGCAAAGTCAGTTTTCCATGGGATGTTTTACTTTCAGAAGTAGCAGGAGTGCAGAACAATGAATGTGCCAAGTGACCCATTTTATGGTTATAGTGACACTGAAGGTAATCCTGGATGTTCTAAATGGACTATGTGCGATTTTAAAGTATGTGATAAACCTGAATTCCACTGTGTTCTTATAGCAAGGTTTGTTAGGACAATTGCAAAAGCATGCCCTTCTAAAGAAGGCATGTCCCTTTAAAGGTTAAGCAAGTAATGAAACAGCATATTATGTGGAATGCAGTGTTTCTAAAACAGGGTTGTCTTCTACTGAGATAGAAGATGCTTGAAGGCAGTTATTTATATTTAATGAACTGTCTTCAGGAGAAGAGATAGTCATATTGTATTGGTTTGAATCGTCAGCAAGACAAGGTAATTCAGAGCTAATGTTGACACTGTCAGCCACAAGTTGCTGTCATACTATGGCAGCTGTTTCATTTACATCAGAGGGGATTTATAGTGATCCCAGAAGATAGAAAGTAGCCCAAATGTATTTCACAGTTGTTTACATGATGAAGAATTCTCTGAGTAAATTTAGCTTTTTATGTGTTAGTTTATTTAATATTACTTTAAGTGAAAATTAAACAAAGCAGTACCCATAAAAGGGAGAGGAACTTGTAAGTGAACACCTTTGTATCCATAGTAGAACTTGAACAGAGTGCCTAGGACCTTCTTTTAGCTCAGTGGAACGTAATTTAACATTATATTACTGTACAATCCTTATAGGTCACAGGAGACAAAATGTGGTTGCCTTCCGTATTCACAGTTTACAAGTGCCACAGTGCTTTAGGTGTTGGCAACATATTTTGTTGCTAAGTTTTGACAACTGTATCAGTGTTAAAGTATCTACTGGATAACGTTTAATCCAGCATAAACTGAAGACATCTCTGAAGTACTTTTAGACTGAGTAATTTACCTGGATGTATTTTGGTAATTTTCCTTTAGATGCATATGCTCTATGCATCTGGAAAATATATATAATAAATGCATTTACTACCATTATGGAAAAATTTGGGGGAATAAAACATTTTAAAATAGCAAAAAGTAGTAGTTACATTCTAGTTATTGAATTTAGGGGCTCCTGCAGCATCCTCCCATGCCCTCAAGTTAGCATGATTTGAATAATCTGCATACAGATCTTGTACCTACAATATTGCTTAAAGTTGTAAGTTTTTCGGTAGGTGGCAGTCTTACCAGTAAATCAGTGTAACGTCAGTGCTGCATAGCATTGGCAGGGGAATGAGGGAGGAAGAGCGTTGCTAGTAATGCTGGGTTGTTTTTGATGAAGTGTATAATACTGGTTTATTAGTTAAAGGGCCATTTGCAATCATAGCACTTTTTGCAAATGACTACACATGACCAGATGTGTTAATTTAGCTTAATTAATGTCCCATTGCAGGTTAGTCTGCTATATAATTTACCAAATATTAATACTTTATATACAACAATAATGTTGCTGTAACTTTTACTAAGGGCCAGAATCCAGTTGTTTTAAGAACTTACAGCCACATGAAAACAAGAGTCATTTATTCCGTAGGAAGCTTACAGTCTCACATCTTTTCTGTTTTATTGGTTGAATGGCTTGTGATCAGAAGTTTGCAAGCTAAGTGAAGTTACTGTTATTGGCAGTACTTCAGAGCATGCTTATTTAACAGATAAATAGATTTCAGTGTATTACTGTATAGTTACTGTGTAATACTGTACTTCTGAGATACATGACATTCTACATGGTAGAATGTTATATCTAAAAACTTTGATATATTTATGATTAACAGCTATGTTGCTTTGGCACTTAAATGGAAACAATATGCAAGATAATGGAAACATACAGAGATAAAAACAGATTTTAGACCTAAAACCTTAAGTTGTGTTTGCAGTATTTAAGCTTGTCTGTCATATATGTGTGACCCTATTGGCTAATAAAATTGCAACATTATTGGACACTTTTAAGATTCAGCTGAACAGGGTGCTGGGCCATCTCGTCTAGACTGTGTCCAGACCAGGTACCTTCCAACCTGATATTCCATGATTATGATACCTCATCAGATGTTCAGAGGTCATCACCCACAGCTTTCTGTATTTTTTTTATTTTTTTAAGGTTACCTTGCCAGAATTTATGAATATGAAAAAATTGATGAAGAGAATAAGACCACTGGGGTTGTTTGGATGTGTGCATACAAGTTTCAGGAAGTCTTGAGGAAATTTTGTGTTTTGTATGACATTAAGCTCCAGAATTCCATGCATTAAAGTCTGTTGGTACCAGTAGTTTATTAGGCCATAGTTGTAGAACATGAGCAATTCTTGGGTGAATGCTTGAAAGTTAACACTCAATTCTTGGTTTAGTACTGTAAATTTGGAACACAGAAATGCAGAATCTGCCTCACAAACATACTGAATTTTGGTACAGGCTCACAGTTCAGAGTTTCCTGTAACTTTAGTTATGTCTCTTTCATTACACATATAAACATATTTAAGCTCTTAAATTGCATATTCAGATATTAGATGTAGGTGCCCCATAAATTTCTCACAAGTACAGTTTATTTGCATTGGCAAGCAGAGAGATATTTGCTTCTTTTTGTTGCTAACAAAAGGAAATATCACTGGTGCTTGTGATGTAAATTATTTAAAACTAGAGTTAGCCTTGATGTGATTGTGTCTTTTCTATATTGCATTGCAGAGACGGTGAACTGAGTTTGAGTAGGTCAATGATCAATAGTTCTGATAAGATGATTCAGAAGGTTGGCTCCTCAATCTTTCATCATGCTGCAGAAGTTTGGAAAATCAATTCTTCTTTGGTACTGGAAATAAGGTGAGTGTCTTCAATAAAAAGCAGTTAATTTCATATTATCTATAATTCTTTTAATTTTGTATTGCCTATAATTCCCCTGGTCTTGAAAACGGTCATTTGATTTACAGTTGCAGGTGGATGTTTTATAACTATATGTGTGTAGGGTTTAATGTTAAATGCAACTAAATTAAGTTAGACTCCAAGGTCAAGTCATCCTTCATAAGAATAAATAAAATGTTTCCATCTGGCTGTGTCAGTCAGACCTGTGCAGCCAGTATCTACGTTATGCATGTCCACATTTGAGCTGGTTATCTAGAACTATCTTGCAATCACTGGTGAGAAACTGGCACTTTTAGGTCTTGGTTTTCTCTTATCCTGAAGGTCTGAAATAGAGCAGATGGAAGTACCCTGAAGGTACCAAATTTTCTCGTTTAACTATAAGGGAGCTTAGGCAGACAACTTAGGTGTAGGAGTCAAGAGCTAGGACATCAGGTACTGTGAATCCAACCCTGTCTGTGGCTGCTCCAAGTCACAAGGTCATATGTTAACAATACCAGTATATACAGGTTTCTTTCCTTACTTCAGACATGCCAAAAAGAGCATTAGACTGATGCTGAGGGGAAAACAGGGTAGCAGAGTTAGTGATCAGTAGTTCTGATGTGTCTTAGTAGTTAAAGTGTATCTACTCACCTTGGAGAATGAGAGAAGAGAAAGCAGAAGCCTCTTAGTGTATAGTGTTGTTGTCGCATCTTCCCTGTCGTAATGAGGAAAGTGGCTGGTGAGAGAAGTGTGTGGAGCATGGTTTGGGACTGTGGAGGACTAGGAGTGTCACATTCTTTGAAAGATGATAGAAAATAACTATTTTAGTGGCAATCACATAGCAGAGTGGACTTGATTTTCTGGATATTAAGATTTTGAATAGAAATTTCCCTTTCTACTGTTTGTTTTTGGTGCTTTTTTTTTTTTTTAATTAAAGGACACCTTACAAAACACTTAAACAGGCAATGTTCCCATGTACAAAAACCTCATTCAGCAAAGCCATGAATTTAGGGATTTTTTTAATGACTGCTATTTTATGTCCCTAATTTTAAAACGTGCAGAAGATACGAGTAGCTCTGAAATGTATGAAGCTGTAGTAAAGCACTGGTTTTCTGGAAGTCTTGAGCTACAACTGACATAGCACAGCCCTGCTATGAAAGCTGAGGAACAGTGTCGGGGATGGAAGGAGTGGCAGGATTTAGGTAGGCAGCAAATTAATATTCTGGAGCCTGTAACTGTGTCTCAGCTACTTGGTAAGGGCTCTGTGGAGTCCCCACTCCCTAGCTGCCTAGACTAAAGGACCCTCGGGCACTTTACTGATCCCAGGCAGCTGGGTTTCCTACTGGTGAAGACCTGGTGGTTGCCCAGAAGTACAGCTGAGTTTCTTCCAGGACTATCTGTTCAGATGTAGCCTGTAAAGGCTTCAAGGTAGTCTAGGAAAGATAGCAGATATTCCATATCAGTATTTAAAATTTATGTACATATAACTGACAATTTAAGTTGCGGAGATACTGAGTAACTTCAGAAGAATACTGTTGAAATTTCAAATCATGGGTTATGGTTTTGGCAGTTAGGAGAAAATATGCTGTTTTACGTGTAGAGCAAACTGATTTGGAAGCCATTGAGTCATTATAAGTAGGGACAGATAACTCTGTACAGTCACTTTGTTGAAAAATTCAATGTCATCTTTCTGAACCATTTAAAACCAATACATGTTGCTGCTCAAGCCAAACAACAAACAAGTAAAATTAGTATAATAACTTCTTGATCAAAATTGAGAGAAAATGAAGCATGGGTTATGTTAATTTTTCACCCGTTTCAAAAGCAAAATACATCATTCAGACAAAGAGGTAAAACAGTAGAGAATGTTTTAGATTTTTTTAAGCCTGTTACTACATGCGTGTCATCTCAATCTATTAAAATCATGAGTTTCAAAATCAGTTTTTTCCTTACTTTTGGCCAGCGGGGGAAAATTCTCTCATTTTATAAATTACTGATATACTTTTAAGAAGTATCATGTTGTGATTATGTGGTAATGTTTAAAAATTGTACAGTGAAGGGTATTTTTTTGTTTCAGCCATATAGTGAAGAAAAACATGTATCTTGTACACTGGTTTAAGCAGTAAAGGTTCTACTTTATCAGCATAAAGATTTTTCTGTGCAGTGGAGAACATTAAGCTGAGGTTATATAGATGTCTACGTTGCTAGTCTTGTTTTGAGATGAAATAGCTACCATCATGAACACTGGGGCAGAGAGCAGGTGTTTTCATTGAACCAGTAAAAGATTTTAGGTTAATGTGACTTAGCCAAAACTTGACATAAACTGTATGAAAGGAATCAGAGCTACCAGCCAGTCATATTCTTTCCAGAAATCCTCTTTGTTAACGTGTGTAGCATATTCAGTTATGGCATTCGGCAGTGAGGGAGGGAAGTTTGGCATGCTTTTCCCTAGGGAAGCCTTGTGATGTGTGTTCCACTCTGATGCTGACTAAACAATGTGCGTTGTTCTTTCGCTTTTACAGGTGGGTTGCTATAAACCTTTCTTTCCTGTCACAGCAGTAGGAGGCATCTTAGGCAGAAATATTTTTACACCTACATACCTATCCAAGACTGACTTCAAATGTGTCTCCCAATCTCCTAGAGTAATCTCCAGGTTAAACTAACTGTTCAGCCTTCCAGAGTACATTACATGCACTGTGTAGACCATGAAGATGATTCATATTCTAGTATTGGAACTGTTAATGTGAACAGTGATGGTCTTGTGGTGTGAGGTTGACCATAGCAAGTAACAGTAAGAGAGAAACAAAAAAAAGTTAGCCCCTATTGAATAATGTGTAAAAAATTATCAGTTCTTATCAGTGGAGAAATAATTTGTTAAACCACTAATGTACAGCATAAAAGACATTTCATAAAATCTGTAATCACCCATAAATGGCAGCTCCTTTTGTGTCTTGTGTCAGCTTGACACCCACATTAGCAATTTTAAAATGCAGAAAATATTCAGTAGTGAATTTTGCTTTGTGTGAGGACTGTTAATCAATGGTATGTCTGGACTTAGTTGGCTGGCAGCTTGAATATTACACTTTGTTATTCACCTTGTTGACCATGGGTATCATGTCTGGCCATTTTATTTTCACTCAGGTTAGTGACCAGTCTGTCAGCCTCAAAAGTCCTATGGATTCTTGTCAAGGCCAGGCTCATAGAGGAGTCAATAAGTGAAAAAGCTGCTTTATCAGGACTACATGGGAGGATGAAAAGCTTCAACCAGATTTCTGGTGTCACAAGATGCTGTGGGACTTTACTGCCAGAAGAGGCAATCTAGGAGGTGTAGCAGCCCGTTGCAAATGTTAAGCAGACATTAGAAGAAAGAGCTAGCCTTTCCGTGATTGAGATGGAAATAATGGGTATTATTAATTACTTGAGACTGTAGCAAATCTGCTGACTTGCCCATCATGGCTAGTCTACTGGATTTTTCCAACTGATGTTACCTTCTGTTTTGTGACAACTTCTTTGAAGAATAATTAGTCATTCCTGTGCCTAAGGGAAGAAGACTTGCTTGTCTGGCTCCCCTTCTGCCTGAATGATTTCAGTCATGAAGAAGAGAGAAAATCTACCATCTGCAAGCTATTGTGTCTTAGGTGCTTTCTACTCTGTAGCAATGTGAAGGTTTTCCAATTACAGAAATTAGAAAATTTCAGTTATATTGAAGGCCATACTTGCAGAAATGAGAAATGTGGCCCTATCTGGGTATAGCCTTTCACACAAGACTGATGCCTGCACATCTGTGACCCATGTAAAATGAACTACAGTCTGACATATTGGTGTGTGACTTTCTTCTTTCACTTATTTTTGTTTAAGTGTGGGTGTTTATTTTGGAAGGAGCAGATGAAGGTTTTGAATTTCAGGAGGGCAAAAAGGTAAAAAAAAAAAAAAGTGTGTCAGGAATGTATTTATCTCTTTGCAATGTGACACAGAACTCTGAGTGGAAATTTCCTGGCAGAAAAGTGTGAGAACTTGTAAAATGTTAACAGCATCATATAAAAAAAAAAAAAAAAAAAAAAGTGTAACTTCCTCCTTAGAAAGGTTCAGGTTATTATCATTGTTTATCTTTCAAGTTAATACGAAACAGCTATGATAAGTCCCTCAAGTGCAAGCAGTGAATTCTGACCTGGCAGTGGAGCGGTACAATTGTTCTGAAGCTTTTGGAGCAACATTCTGTGGCCAGTTGCACTCTTTCCTTCAGTGTCTCTTAAGACATGCAAACTGGGGCACTCTAGTCTGATTTAATCATAATAAACCTTAAGGGTCTTTTGCCTCCTTAGACCCTTGCCTCAGCTGAAGAGTCTTATCCACTGTCAGTTGGAGCTATTAACTCCTTTGACTTATTTCTTTTGACTCTTAACTTTCTTAATAAAAAGCTGACATATGGCTGTCCTTCATATGGTAACTCGTAGTTGAGTCATACTCTATTTAAAAGCCCTCTTTTCCTTCTGCATGCCCACTGAATATTTGTGTCTGATTCACAGGTACTTCAGCTTTCTGGTCAAGGGAGGGTAGGGACCCCTGAAGAGCACAACCGGGGCTAGAGTGGGGACAGAGCCAGTCAGCAACTCTATGATACACCACTTCTGTTTGTGTGGTCCTCCATGGGCTGGGCAGTGCCAGGCACCTTTCTATGGTTAGTTGCAGTTAGGCATGTTTTTAACAAATCCAAATCGTGAGTTGGACTAGATGAACTTTAAAGTCATCTTCCAACCCAAACTATTCTATGATTCAAAATGCTACTTTCCTTTAAGAGGTTTTCTTAAAAACTCCCTTTCAGTCAGACTAAAGCCAAACCCAACACAGGTGCAAACATTTGCAGTCCCCACTGCCTCCTCAGGAGGCCAACAGGAGCTGTAGCTATTTACAAGGGCAGGCTGTGACTTTGTGTTACCACACAGTTCATTCTTGTTTTGTTTTTTAATTAAACTAATTCAGCGGACAGGAAGTATGTTTTACCTAGGTCATAGTCCTTGGTGATTTCCAAGGCTGAGAGCTGCTTTCTGCCTTCCAACTGGGGAGTGCAAAGCAGTGTCAGGACTGGCTAGGGTTAGAAAATTTTAAAGACCTGTGTGAATCCGTCAAAGTCTGCTGGAGAACAAGAGGGGTCAGAGATCTACAACACATGATCTGTCCAGTTGAAAAGTAAAAGTTGTATGGTTTCTTAACCTAAGGTAAATGAAGGCTATTGTAGTCTGTCCTCCACAGACAAGGTATAAGAAACAAGAACAGGCTTCAGTTGCTGTAGGAAAGGTCCGAGCTAGCATGAGGAATATTGTGCTGCTGGTAAAGCTAGGGAAGCACTGACATAGGCTGCGTGCAGAGTTCAGTGAGTCTCTACCATGGGAGGTCGTTAGCAATACGTGAGATAAACATGGACCATGTGTGATGTAGATAAAGGCACATCTTCAGTGAGGGCAGAGTATGAACTAGGTAACCGCGTAGTCCATCTCTGTTTCCATAATACTGTTCTTGGTGAGCTAGCCCAGCTTCCTGGGTACTAAGGATACACTCCACGGGCTTCCTGTCATAGTTGGGGTCAAGACAAGCGCAGATGCCCCAGCAGTGAGGATTTGTGGCACTGCCTTTTCCCAGCAAAAGTGTTGGAGGTCATGTTTCAGTGTTCTTGACAATGTTTAAAAATATTAATTTATTTATAGTCTTTAAAGTCAAATGTTTAAGTGATTTATTTGCTTTCCTTAATCCAAACAATTTTGAAGCAGATGAAGGAGAGTTTGCCATTATATAAGTTGTGCAGTACGAAGACTGCAGTACAAAATAAAACCAGAAAAATGTCACCATGTTGTCCCAGAGCAATACACATATTATTTGCGAAGCTGTTCAGAGACAATTCTGCCTGTTACATATACTTTATCAGATAACCAGGAGTTGTAGTTAATATTTAAATACTATGAACATCTGTTTCTGGTTATCAAAGGAAAACCCTGGGTCAACCACAGATTGTGATACCATGTTTCTGTGAGTCATGTAAACATGTTGCAGACAGCTGCTTGGCTTCAGATAAGAGTGAGCCACATCTGCCTCACCTACCCAAAAAGGGCTTGGGCCATACACCAGATAGTTTTATTCATCAAAAAAAAAAAAAAAAAACAACTTGAAGGCCGCCTCAAATAAAACAGTTTATTTTTAGCTTAAGGTTTGAGAATATCTTTGCTTCAAGGCTTACTAAAAATCATGGGTTTTTTTTCCTTCATTTAACTGAGCATACTTTTAAATTTTATATGCAGCTGGATGTGGATTATCATTCATTTTAAATTTTTTTGCGGTGTCTGTTTAATCAGAATAAGCTTGTGCTATTTTCAGTGCTCTTTGTGGACCAGAACAGTGGTTTAAACAAGTTCCTATTATTAACCATCATCAAGCCTGACTGAGACACTCATGTATGTACTTTCAGTTTTTGTAGCACCCCTTAGTAATTTTTTTTTTCTCTTAGCACTTACATGAAAATGAGAAGTATTACTATCCCCATGGTACAGATGAGTCAGTAGCACAGAGGAACTTGAAACATTAGCACGAACTCTGCATTCTTAATCATATTTTTTTCAGTATTTAAATATATTAAGATACAGTCAGATGAATCAATTCAAATATTTTAATGTTAACATTATTACACATCTCTTACACAGGGATTTTTATGTGTACTGTAATACCTGTGCATGCATTTAATTGAATGTGCTACTGGCAACTTCAGATAAGAAAACATTTTTAAACATGTGAGAAGATAGTAAGATTCAGTGACTTTTGCCCATCTAAAAATTTCATTGAAAAATAAACTTCTTGGACATTTTGGAAATTTCAGCTATGTTAAATAAGTGGTTTACTATCTGAATCTAATTCAGGTCCACTTGAAGCCCTTCGAGGGCTTCTACAAGCATATGTAAGCACATGGATAGATAAATAATCTTTGACTGTAAGTAACTAAAGTAATAATGGAAGCCAAGATGCTTTTATTTTTTTTGGCACTGTTTGTATAAATACACTGCCTTTCTCTTATGTTTTAAAATAATACCCAAGTTACTCTGGTCATATACAGATGTTGCTACTTGATTGCTAACAGAAACAGTATTAAGCCCATTCATTCTAGGTATCAAGGATGGGTGCTTCAAATTACTAAAGTGAATTTTCTGGTAATGATGTGTGACTTTTTTAGTCAAAGCCATCAGTTTTTGTACATTTCACATAATTTCTTTTGCTTTTTGTGATTCATTTATGTGTATGTGAAGTTAGTCTCTGTACAGCTTGGCTGATGCTACTGATAGCTTTTGATACAGTCATCTTTCCCTTTACAGCCTCAGCTCTGGTAGCTCTGTTCTTAGGTAATAAAGAATTTCAGTCATTTTGAATACCGCTAGATTTTTTAATACTGCTGAATTGTGCAATTACTTATTTCTTGCTCTTTTTTCATTTTGTATCAATTTATATTTCTGCATATTACCCACAAAATTAAGTTTATCAAATCCATGGAGATGTTAAGTTCATTCAGTTTACAGGATGAAGTGGAGTCTTCGTTTTACAGAAATATCTTGCCTGGCCTTAACAAAAGCTTTAGACACAGGATTTTAACATCCTGCTCTGTTATTCAGAGTCCCTCATATGCCTCAGCAGAAGCCAGTTTTTCTCTGATGCTGCTTCATTTATACATGACAACTGTAACAGACAGTCCAAGACATTCTTTTTTTTTTTTTTTTTTTTTTTATCATAGTTTAAGAAATAAGAGAAAACACTTGAAAAAAAAATTATCATGTTTCAGTTCCCCTGTGGCTTTTCAGGTCAGTTTCAGGGTGAGTATTTTGTGTCACTGGTTGCAAGGTTCAGGCATATTCTTCCCTCTTGAGGCAATGACAGAAAAGCTGACTGGTGAGCATGGTGTTCCTACAGTTCATCCCTTTTCACTTGTGGGGGATTATTTCCTCCTTATATGTCCGAGTGGGTGTTGCAACTGCTAGAGTGGCATCTCTAGTTATCTTTTCCTGTTTTGATCTGCTCTGAGGAACTTCTGCTCTAAAAAGTTATTTCATAAAAATTACATATTCTTACTCAACAAAATGTCTATTGTGTTTTAAATTCCACCTTACCTGCTGACAGCAGTGGAAAATACAAAGTTACTGTTTTTCTTCTTACCTTGCTAGAGCTGCAGAGGCAAAAGTTTCTATCCAAATTAACACCAGTGGACACCCTGCTCCACTTCAGCACTCTCTGTCTGTTCCACAAATGTATTGTACTTAAGTATGTGCTTAAGTTCAGATGTAGTCTTTATGCCTTTTCACAAACATACATGCTTTGCAGAGCAGGGATGGACACAAGTTTGTAAGGCTTTGCTTATCTGCAGTCCTGAGCTACCAGTGGCTCTTGTAGCTCTGGCCTGAAGTCCTTTCCAGCTTTTTATACCAAGGATAAGTGTGTATTGAAAACTGCTTGATGCTGCCAGTGGATATATAAGTCATTACATAGCTGCAGTCATTAAAAGTGTCTTTTTTGAACGTACGTATTAACAGTGTGTCAGTTTATAGACCCTTGCCCCCCAACCTCATAAGCAGGTACAATTACCATCACTTAACTTCTTCAGCTGACATCTAAGCAGATATTCTTCACCTGTTACTTGCTGTAGACTGGGTGTATACAACTGTTTAATTACTGTAGTTCACTTGACCTGTGGTAACTTGATAAACCCTTATATCTTAGTTACATGTGTGTGAACCCAGCTAATAGTTTAAACAATTAACTGCAGAGAAGCAAGGTAAAGGATTAGACTTACCTGATTTAACGTGATGATAGATTTCATAAGTATTTTTTTAAGTTCATCTGACAGCTTGACTAGACCTTGAGCTGCGGTAATTTAATTTGCGGTATGTTTTTAAGATGATTTTGTTTAAATTAGTATAAAAGACTGTGGATGTTCTTATTTCAAGTTCATTAGGATAACTTTGGCTGAACTTCAGTTAATTAGGAGCAAGTTGATGCTAAAGCAAATATGTTGTTCTTATTTATGGTGAAATAAGAATCTGTAAGAAATCATGGTCATTCCTGAGCCAAGCTAATTTGTGGGAGATGAGATTGTAGTGAAGCATTTATTTCCTAATTCATAAATACCTCATATATTTTACTATGCTTCTCTGAAAACCAACTGCTCTGGTCCTTTTTCAAGTATGTGTTTATTAAAAAGTTTGGAAATTAGAAGACATACTATTTTTAAGTACTTTACAAAAGTTATCTTCCCTTGATCTCTCAGTACCCTTGTAGGAAGTCATTAACTTCTATTGCTGTAGTATTTTCATGTTATATTGTAACCAAAATTTGAACTCTGTCCTAACAGCTTTGTTCTAACTCCACCATAGAGCATGGGAAATGATCTTAGTCTGCCTGACACTACCCTCTGCTTTATGTTGTATGCTCTGTACAGTCTATATTACTATTAGATAAACTCCATGTGAGCAATGAGTGCTGGGATTTATCTGTGCGTTTTTGTGTCAACCTAGAAAGAACATTCTTCGATTCTTGGATGCTGAAAGAGATGTCTCAGTGGTCAAAAGCAGCTTCAAGCCAGGAGATGTAATTCATTATGTACTGGACAGACGTCGCACCCTAAACATTTCTCAGGATTTGCACAGCCTTCTACCTGAAGTTTCCCCAATGAAGAATCGCCGATTTAAAACCTGTGCAGTTGTTGGGAATTCTGGCATCCTTTTGGACAGTGGATGTGGAAAAGAGATTGATGGCCATGACTTTGTAATAAGGTGAGTTTTCATCTGCTGTTGAAGACACATTCTGCTGTGTTTCTTGGAGAAAAACTGGAAGGAGTGTTTTAATCTGAGATACAGATTTCAAGGATTATCTGAAATTAATTTGAAACAGTATACTTCACTGTGTGATTCTCCCAGTTTAAATATATGCTCATAGTGTTGACAAGAAGATTATTTTTATAGTGAAAATAAAACAAGGATCAGAAGAGAGAGTTTTGTGCTATTTATTTTTACTGTTTCTTTTTTTTATTCCAGACAAAATAAATATTCTTATGGAGACCTGGGTAGAATAAATACAAAATGTTTTCTCTTCCAAAATTATTCTTTCTTACCTCTTGGCCAATAAAGATGGCCTGCTGCAAATTACTACATTACTGATGTACAGCATGAGGTAAAATTTCAGTATGATGTATTCATGTTGAACCAGATGGCTGCCATTAAGGTAAACAGAAGTCACATATCTAAATCCCTTCACATTGCTCAAAAAATGTATCCCTGCAGTTTGGGCAAAAATGTCAATACGCTTCACTTTGTATTCTTTAAACATGCACAGTAGAATAACTTTGGACTTCACATGTCAGTGGGAAATAAAGAGGAAGAGCTGGCCTCATTTGACATCCTGGCATTATATGGATATAGAGAAGGATGGGCAAGAGATTTTGCCTTTTGCTTTTGAGGCAGAAGTTTCAGTTGGTTTGGTCTGAGAAGGGTGAAAGAGCAGAAAGCAGAAGGGCCGTGACAGAAAACAGTGGAGAAATAGTTGTCAGTACGAGTTACTTGCTTTTTCTTTTCTTACCCTGAAGAAAGATGGTGGCCAAAAAATATCAAAAGGATATGGAAGAGAAAAATTTGCTTTTCAGTGCATAAATAAAAACAGGGTATACACGTGAAAGTTGTATTTTATTTGAAAGGTATACTACCAATTGGCAACTGAAACAATGACATACCACTCTTTCATTTTCCTTGTTTTGCTTGTAGAAGACTGGAGAGGACTTTAAAGAAATTCAGCATGCTCTTCCCCATATTTTAACTTGCCATGAAGCTGATGATACCTGATTGGAGATTTTAACTAATTCAAGCCATGTGGAGTAAAGTTAATATTCTTAAAGATTTGTGTATGGATGAAAGAAGAATGGTTGAAGCATCAGGAATTTGCTGTTGCTAATCAGTTATTAGATGGAAGAAACATCTCTCTTACGCTGTATTACTAGTAAAGTGACCCATATAATAACTAGTTGATCTGATAATATTGTGGATAACAAACTGTATAAGGTTCTGGGATTAGAATACTTGACCCTGCAGCCTACAGAGAATTTTAATACAGTGAAATTTTTGGATTTACAAATTAAGGTTAAAACGTTCTAGAATTTCACAGATTATCTCATAGGTTAAACTATACGATATTTATTTATGTGTGTCTGGATGGGTGCATAGGTACATAGCATCTGTTTAAAGTAAATAATGAATTCATTTGTATTTTGAGTTAAAGAAAAAGACAAAGCGTTCTTCAGAGATAGTTTCCTATATTCCTCTTCTTCCATTTAAAAAAAGTTGTAAATAACATGATATGTAATCACGTGATCGAATGGTACCGGCATACTTGGTAACCGCTCACCTCTATTGCTGTTAGGATTCTGATATTAAAACATACCATCACACTGTTACTCTCTTTGCTTTCAGCTGATTTCTCTGGAAGTAAAATGCACTCATTCTACTTGCTACCCTATGGTGTTCTGAAAAGGAGTTACTGTATGTACTGTATGCAGCTAGGTGTATAGCCTGATGAACATTTTTATAGAAACTCCGAATGCTGAGTGCAGTATGCCTATGTGCCAAGACAAGTATGTCATACTATTTTGGTTAAATATATTATCTAGTTGATTTTGATAGTACTGTATATTCTTTTTGAGATTTGAAACAAAAACGTGGTTTTGAGAGAGTTGTTTCTTAGAGCAGCAGTTGTAATGTTAGCTCTAACACCAACAATACCATGAATTTAAAGATAAAACTGGTAGAGATCTGTGAAGGTGAAGAGGACACAACAGATACCCAGCAGTATTTGCATTACAGTGCAGTAAACTCAATATCCTGAATTTTAATTCTTATAAGAGTGGTATGAAGATGTTGGTATTAAGCATAAAGAAGAATGTCAGTACCTAGCACTTCAGATTATTTAAGTTTGATAGTATCTGCCAATGTCTTTGAAAGTCATCCAAAGTTGCTAATAACTGTACATCTACCTTTGAGACATTCCAACATATTCAGTGCCTTCTATATAACAGTGCCTCTCAGAGAACATTGATCCAATGGAGACACCGGTAATTAGAATACTTCTGTGATGAAAAATGTTTTAAAACAGGCACCTAAACTAGAGTCAAATAATAAGCATGCTTGCAAGCCAACATATAATTCTGTCAGCAAATTTTACAAGTAAAACAATATAATTCTTCTTCAGACATCTCTGAAAGTGCATAAATAAGGGTCATTTTTGCAAGCAAGGTAATATCTTGTTGGCATAAGTAGATTAACTGTATTTTCTGAATATTTTAAAGTGGCTTGGTTTTAATTACTTGGTCATATAAAACCTTATTTTGTTCTCACAGCATCAGAAATCAGGAGTCTGAGAACATTATCTTCTGCTATGATAAAATGGATTAGTTCCACAAGTTTAGTGAAGTCATGCCTCTTTTGACAGTAGAAAATGTGACCCATCTAGTTACAATGGGAGGCAAGGAGATTCTTTGCTATTAAAAAACCCGATGTGCTGACTATTAACTATTTCCCATTTCCCCTTTTCCTTTCCTTTTTACCTCTTATGTTTTTACACCCTGTTAAGTGAGTATTGATACTTACCTTTGCTACTTTTGTAGTGGTAAGCTAAAGCATGCTGTGTTTTGATACTGTACCCAGAAAGGGTCTGAACTGTTCCAAAATCTGATTCCATAAAATAAATTAGAATGAAAATATGAGATAACCTAGCAGATTGCGTTTAAAACTTATAAATGGTGAACATTTTTTAAGTAATAGAATTCAGCATTCATAATGGGAAATATTGAAAAGCAGAGGCTAAGTAGAGTTTTGGAGTTATTTGGTTAACAAGCAAACAGACAAACAAAAACCTCCAAACCTGATAAATAATCTTGAGTTTTTTCTCGTGGTGACACTTCTGGGAAAAGTACCTTTAATTTTGGTTGGACTATATGGAGAACAGGCCTGTTGAGCAAAGTTGTTTGACTAGCTTAGGGTTGGACTGACAAGGAACTGCCATGAGAGGATATTAATTGCTGCCTACTTTTGATTGAAGTACCTAGTTTATATGTTAAAACTCTTCTTTCTCTCTGAGTGTTTTCCTGTTAACTCTGTCAGCATCTAAGAATCAAGCTGAACATTTTTGCCATCACTGGTGATAAAATTTTGCTGGGAAAATGCAGCTCTTATTTTTCCACTGTCCTTTGACTTCCATGTTTTAACTTGGCAATTCTTGTGGTTAGCCAAGTTGGCGTGGAAAAAAATTGTGGTCTTTTAATAAATTTGTTGGTTTATCCTATGCAAAGAGGATAATCTCTTTGACTTCCTCCCTGATGTCTTGGTTTTGTGGTCAAGCAATTGTGATATGAGCAGAAGACAGTGTATCTGTTCAGGAAGAAGAAAAGGACAGACCTTCTAAACATTCTATGGATGTGTGGTTGCTCATTTCATGAGAACAACTTAATTTTCTCTGCTAATATGTCAGCAGAAACTGGTAGTAGCTTCTTTCTTCTGAGTTGTTTCTTCAGCTGATAGGAAAAAAAATCATAAACTTGTCAGAGTAAAAAGATTTATGTAGTTATTTTCTGGGACTTTTTTTTTGTAAATTATATCAGCCTTTTTGTCCAGATGCTTATTTAATACACCTTGATTGGAGCATAACCATTGTGCCAGTAGAGCTGGATGCTCAGAGCCAGCAGATTTGTTGAAAATGAAGTTGCCAATTTAACAGACTTATTTTAAAAGTGTGATTCTTCCCTTAAAAATAACATTTGAATACATCATGACTAGCTCATTAGACCTTTTTCGGCTTTCAAATGTGGTAGCTCTATTTTTGCCCTATCTTCCTATAAATCATTACATACATTGAAACATTAAATGAAAGCAGAAGAAAGCCAGAAGCCATCATCTTCAGATGATCTTCCTCAGTGACTTGTGTGCCTGAGAAATGGGGAGCACCAGTGTAGCTGTTCAGTGTTTCCAGTCAAGTTAGACGTGGGTGGCCTCTACCTCAGGAGAACCTTGCAGAAGGCCTGACTTCTTGTGGCCACATTTTCTCTTTTTGGCTTCATCTCATAACTTCTGCAGCTGCTGGAAGGATCCTTGCATGACTGCTATTCCAGGCAGCCCATCATGGGGCAAGAGCTGATACAGATGTCTTCTTTTAAAGCTGAATCTCTTAGTCAACCAGTACATAGCACCTGGTGCTACCTACACTTGAGGCCACAGAACTGGATACCCTCTACAGGCATTTATAATTCCAACTTTTGTGCAACTTTGGGTTTGGTTTGTTTTTTTTTTTTTTGTTTTTTTTTGTTTTGTTTTTTTTAAAAAAAAAAAGAAAGGAAGTTAATTCTTAAGTAGATGATATGGGAGGAGATTTAAGGACATAAGTTTAGAAGGCTAAGGAAGCATCAGTTAGAAATGGCTTTTGTAAACCATATACAAATGATGAAAGATTCAATAGTGGTTTCTTAAATAGGTCCTATGAGCATCTAAATGGAGAACATATAGAGTTAGCCTGATTCTTTCTATAATTATCCTGAGATAAAAGAATACAATTCCTTTATATTTGGTTACTCCTGTTGTTGGTAATACAGAGCTTTTAATTGAGTAGTATTCTGAACATTTCCAAATGCAAGGAAGCTTCACTAATCCATTTATTCATTGACAGAGTGTTTCAATTAAGAGGTGCAGCAACCCTCAGAATAGTCTTAGTCTAAACATTGCCTTTTTTGCTGCTCTCT